TAGAATATAAAAAGAATATTTTATAGAATAATAGCAGAAAGCTATTTCCAAAGCTTTTTGCTAAATCTGTTGCTTAACAACATAGAATTATGCATTGTTATGGTGGTCTCTAGGAAAGTTTGTGGACTTACTACTTTGTTTTGTGCCAACTAGGATTTTAAATGTAAAAACTATATTTTGAAACCTAAAAAGAACTATTGCAGATGTAGCCAAAAAGGAGAGCTTTATAAAGCAAGTGGCAACAAATCTTCAGATATTAACATGTTGAGTTAAAAAAGTGCTTTGTTTTGTTTTCCTCTCCCATGCTCCACCTTTTTGTAAGTTATTCTCATCTCTGAGCTGTTTTGAATTCGGTGGTCAGCTTATGTTGGGGACAGGTAGTCATTTCTTGTTTGTTTACAGAGTACATTACAGAGGAATTTTGGGCTGGCTTGTTTGGCCTGAGAGTGTAACTCTGAGATGGCTCTAATTTCCATTTGGATTATATTTATAAGGGGGGAAAACGCCTTTGGGTATCTCTGTTATTTTTTTCAGGTATGCTGACTGTGTGATTCTCTTACTTCCTCAGCTGGAAGCTGGACTTAGATTGCTCTTCACTACAACTAATAAATGTCCGAATCGATTGCTAACAGCTGAGGTAAAATTTCTGTCTAAAGTCAGTTATGATTTAGTGCTAACAATATTTACAAGATAATTATTCTAGAAGCATGGTATCTAAACATTTACAGATTTTCCCCCAAAATTTTTCAATCAGTTGTGGAACATTATTTACAAATTTCCAGTAGAGTTTCATGAATGCCTCTTATTTTTTTGTAAAGATGTCTGCCAGTAAAAGAAGTATGAAGAAGTACTTGAAGGTTAGTGTTCAGAAACAGTAGTTTAGGGTAGAAAGTAGATCATGCTATATTTGTTTTTAAAAACTTGGCACAAAATCCACCAGTCCCTTTTCTTCATTTGTAAGGGGGTTTTTTTTGCTATTCATGCATCTCTGGTATCTCAGGCAAACGAACAAATATAGGTTTGGTACACATGTCTAGTTAATTGGTTTTGTTTGAAAATCAAATAATATTAATTGTCTTTTGTTCTAGCCTTCTGCTCTCTACACTACTTTCGATGAGGTACTTGTGATTTTTTTTTTTTTAAAATATATATCAATGTCAGAATTTAAGCACATGTGTGTTTCCCATTACTAGAGACCAGAAAGCACTTTCTTGTGTTGGACAAGACATTATTTCTAATTTTTTTCCAAATAGAAGATGATGGACAGTAGAAATCTTAAATTTGGAATCCCCCAGAAAATATCAAAATGAATACAAATTTTAGTGAACAGACTTTAATTTCTTATAAATGTTTTTATCTTGAAATTCTTCATCTCACAGAAACAAACATTCTGTCATTTTTCCTAGACTCAGTTATTCAAAATAAATACAAAGAAACATTGCAAGCAGAAATCCTCAAATTTTACAACTCTCTTGAATTATCTCAAATTGTCAGGACTAACTAGGCACCTTACTTCTTGAGTGGTGGAAGTAATTGCTTAAAATTAGGGAAACTAATTACTTTAGTTGGTGTTTTTGCTTTGCTTGTTTGGCTTTCAATAATAAGTTTCTATTCAAATTATTTTTTTCTAGATGCTAGCAAAGCGTTTGGATAATGAAGTCAACCAGCTTCCTGCAGTTCTTGAGGAACCTGCCATGGCAAGTGTTTGAAAGTTGTTGGTTTTGTTCTTTTTTTGACTTGTTGTTGTTTTGTTTTGTTTGTTTTTAAATTTAGTAATATATTTATGATCATGCCTAATACTAATTTATTTTACATAGCTTATCTCCAGCAGCTTAGAACCAGAAACCTGTTACCCTTTTTCATTGTGACGGGTAGTACCTGACAAGCTACATTGGGTTGGGATATAAGACTATCTTTCTTTCTGAAATGTAGAGATACTTCTCTTTAGACTTCTGAAGATCAGCTGAACGGAGCAGAAGAAAAACTGATACCTCATACAGGGGAAATTAAAACTTATTTCTGTTTGCTTCTGGAACACATCTTACACTACCTGGGCAGAGGGCACAAAAACATAGCTGCAAACCTACATGAGCACATCCTGCATCTTGCCATCCAAACAGATAGTGAACATGAAAATAGGGTTGTTAAATTTGGAGGCCTTTTGAGACTGTAGGGGAGACCTGAGTTTATTGTCCTATTGTCAGAGGCAGTGGCGTTGTGGAGGACTTAGGATCAAAAGCTGAGGGAAATCTGTTGTTACCTCTCACGAAATAGCACGTATATTAGTTTTGAATTTCCTCAGAAGCTACCAAGATGGATGACTTACCCTTTGGTTTTTTTTTTTTCCTACGAGCATAGTTTTCATTGTTTTTTCTGACCATCTAAATTGCCTCTTTCCTATAGACATGATCACATACTTATCTTTCAGAGGTATTCTATACACTGAATATATTCTATGTGAATGAATAGAATGTATTCGCTATATATTCTATATATAGAAATATAGAATTCTGTTCTACAGAATAGAATTCTGTATGCTTGGTATATGTTTCCACAGGAATTTATTTGGGATTTCTTGAACCACCAAGAGGGTCCACGTATAAGAGATCGTTTAAGCCATGGAGAGATCAATCTGGAAGCATTTCCCAGACAAGTAGCTAATCAGATAGTTGCATTTGCAATTACTCTTCTCTGCAGATTCTCAGATGAGGACATGTTTGCTTTTAAGGTAGGGATTAATATTACACTCTCAGAAGATTTTTTCAGTTGTTTTGGATGCCAGATCTGATTTTAGAGTCTTATGACTGAATCTTTCTTGACAGCAGCTTTTTGTGGAAATGAAGTATTCCTCCAAGTAAAAAATTATGGAAGTAAGTTTTTTCTAGTTTTGTAGTGAAATAAGTATAGAAAGTTTTCCAAAAGATTACCCTTTCTTACTGTACCATAATTTGTTTGCTTAACTACTCCTTATTCACGTGGTTGATCCACAAATTATGGTGATTCCACTTAATTTTGTCAAATTGTATCAATACCTAGCCTGTTTATCTGCTGAATTAGCCAAAAGGTATGTAGAACAGCTGTAGCTCAGCCACTGAGGTATGTAATATTTTGAGATTTTCTTTCTCTGAGACACTTATAAATAATGGAGGCTCACTAATGGAGGTGTGATTTGTATCAACACTCTATAGTGTGAATTTGTGAACACTTTTTGTCTAGCAGTACATATTTCTCAACACTAGCAATTATTATATTTGCTCCCCCCAATTTCCTGTTAATATTTGGGATTACTTTTTTCAGTATCATGCAGCAACCTGTGAGATAAATCTTCCATTTATTATTTGCAACTCTTTAGTTTCTCAAGGCACGTTGCATGCTGCTGCATTAAGAGAGTATTTGGTTGCTTTTCTGTCAGCTGCTGTCAGGTTTCATAGTTAAAATGTGTCAAAGAAATTAAACACTCACTGTGCTGATTACTGCTTTCAGCCCTCAGACATACTGACTTCAGTACTTTAGGTAGGCTTGCATAAAATTAAGTATAAGCCTAGGTCTGCATATGATTAGGACAGCTTAAAGAAACTGTTGTGTATTGTCTATGATTTTGTAAATCAGGAACACATGGTCATAAAACCACTGATGAACTGTGCAAGTTGCTACCGTTCTCGATTTCATCCAATTTCCCGACTCAAGAAACAGGTAGGTATTTCCAACTGTGAAAGCATTTTGGTCCTTAAAATTGTGAATCCTTAAAATTGGTCTAATTGTTGTCTTCATGCTTTGATTGTCCTAAAAAGTTAAAATCTTACATTTTTTTTTTTAATGAGCTTTTTAGTTTTATCTTTCGGAATTTACAGGATTTTACGGTTGCTAACATGAGATGTAATTAAGCACACTCTTGATGTGTTGGTGCTGCATGTGTACTCTAGACCACTGAATACCTTTATTCTTACCTGAATGTTTGCTGTTCTGTAGTTTTTTTAATCTCCTTGTGCTTTCTTATGTCAGGAACACCCTGTTTGGTCAAGTATCTAGGAATTAGGCTAAGGTTTTTATTGTATGAAGCCCAGCTGACTAAGATTCTGTCATTGTGGCAAAATCTGCTTTCAAGGGTAGTGATAGTTCTCTGCTGGTCAGACTGAATTACTGAACTGCTTGAAGATGTTCCTCTATTGATTTGAGATTGCAGTAGATGTACTTAGTACTTTTCATTTTTGACAGCATTCAAACCGTATGTTAGAAAAGTCATGTTAGTTAATTTTTTAGATTAAAAAAATGGAAGAAAGAATAGCAAATTAGTTTTATTTGGATGATGTTTTAGCATGAAAGTGTACATCAAGACTTTTTGCCCTAACATGAACCTTAACAATTGATGTTGGCTTACACAGTTATGACTACTGAACAAGTAACTTACTGTCTGTTGCAGTTTTTCCTAAAATAGCCACTAAGAAAAGTAAAATATGTTGTCCTGTCTGTCAAAGGCTACACTTTACATAACATCTTTCATGATACATTTTTGAGGTGCTGGAATGTATGAAGAGCATTCTCTTATGGCCTGAATTGCCAACAGTGCCTGAGGAGCACATTCAAACGATTAAAGGGTATGTATATGCTTTTAAAAAAAGATAGTTCTCAAAATAGTTATGAAGAATGTGATTTGAAATGGTGAAATGTCTCTTCAAATACTTTACTAGGAAGATGCTAGACACCAGAGGGGTTGTGAGAAGATCCCTTTGTTCTTTTTAGCTTCATCTGGGCTATGCACATCAGTACAGGTACTATAAAAACTATAAACAGTGTGCTAACTTGAAGGGAATGAGAACACATCTGAAACGTACAAAGGTGTTAGTGACTCCATATTCTATTTCTGAAGAGATGCTGAAGGGGCTGTTAGGAAGTTAAACTAGAGCTTGAGTCCATCACAATAAAAACAAAAAGATGGCTCACTAGATGTATAACAGAAAATAATGCCTTATTCTTAAAAGGACTTAGTAACCAAATCAGTGGAAGACTTTACATGAGGTATTACTTAGAAAAAGAATGTAACATTCTCTTGTTTGAAAAGGAGGAAGTCATTAATATGTCACTGGAGGAAATTGTACTTGTTTAGAGCTGAGAGGTGAAAATTCAATGCATCTGGCACATACTCAATATGCTGCAGGATTTTGATGAATGAATAGAGGACTAAGAGGGGTTCAGAAGACTGCTGAGACTGAGAAAAGGTTGGGTTTAGTTGGAGAAAGAAAATCATGCTTATAAGGTGGAGGGAAAAGAACCATCATATCAGAGAGTAAGAGTGGACATTGAATACGCTGCTATCCAAAAAATCTGCATCTTGATCCATTGGAGAAATAAATACTACACAGTTTTATCATTTCAAATCTTAATTTTTTTCTTTTGTTTTTAAGGTTGGAAGGAAATGCTGAAGCTAGTGCTTTAATTTTGATGATATCTGAAATTCTCTCTCAGTTGCAGCAATATATGCCCCAGGATTGCTGTAGTTCAGATGATCCAATTGATAGTGTCCTAACAGAGAGGTGAGTTTGATGTCTTCCCAGTTCTCGCTGTCAGCTTCTACATACAGCCCAACACAAGAACTCTCAAACCTAAGTACTCGTTTACCTGGTTTTAGAACAATACTTGAAATGTTGCATGCACTTTTCTAATGTTGCCGTTGATTTAATCTAAAAATCTTAAGAATGCAGCTGAATATCATCTTTAAATGAAGATGAGACATTGTAGATTTGGGACATTATTACAGTAGAGAATTTACTTGAAAATTAGCATGAAAAAATAACCATTTTTCAGACTGGGGAACCAAAATGTTTTAAATATTTATGTACTGACTAGATTAAGTTGGTTTTAATCTGTTTTATGTGCTAAAACTGCATCAGAAATTTGTTTCAGTGTGCTTGGTGTCATAGCTGTGCATGGCATTTAAAATAGTAATATGCCGCTATGTAATTCTATTCTTACATGCTTTAGTATCAAGATTCCAGAATAGAAGGTATGTTGTTATACTTATTGTCAGACTTGGAGGTATGTTAGTTCCAATTATATCTGACTTGGAATAATGATCAAAACAATTTGACTTTTAATTGGCACTCTTAGAGCAGTCTTAAGAGTCCTATGACTAATGAATGTGTTGGAACAAAACTCTCTTAATCAAAGCCATTAGGTGTGGGCAGGATGCTGCAAAGAGGATTTTACCTGTTGCTTTACCTATGTAGCATGTGTGCCTTCTGTTTCCTACCGATCAATTTGCACTTTTCTCGTTTATGGAAAAGAAGCCTAATTACTAAAGTTTTAAACCCTTTTTAGAGTTTTCTGCCTTTACCACTTTTTAGTCATTAATGTTTTGCTGTCTCAGAGATCATTTGAGCATGAAAGAGACTAAGAAACATTTCTGTGAGAGCACAGTCTTTAAAGTGATATGTGACACATTAGGTTAGCAGATTAGAATATGACAGCAGAAAGATATTTGTGTGCTTTAACAAAGCATAATCTGGTGTGGTGTTGATTAAAACAATGGCCTCCCCACCTGCATTTTACAAAATGTTAAGTCTGCTTCTTGTTCTGCCCAGAAGAAAGACCACACACTAATTGGAGTCCTAATTAATACCATTTGTTTGAGTGAGTTTTATTATGGTGGATGTTAATTCATTGTGAATTGAACTTTGGTGGGAGGCTTCAACCGCAACCCTGCTGTGATTTGATGTGTTCAATGTATCATTTCAGCCAGGCAGTTCTGTTTATTGTGGTTGTATTTCTTTGATCTGAAATGGGAAACATATTCATCACCAGCAGTTTTGCATTTATATTCAGTAAAGTGATAGAGAGCACAATCACTATCCCTACTAGATAGATCTTTGCTTTTTTTCAGTCATGAGATATGAGTAATCCGTTTCCAGTTAAAACATTATGAATCAAACCACACCGAATATGAAATGTATCTCATGTTAAATCCAGCTAACAAAAGATTGAAATTAACAATTCCTTCCTGTTTTGGAGGCTGTTGACTGAACTTTGTGATACACGTATTTGCACACTTTATTCTCCCCGACCTGTTCTGGAAATACTGGTGGTACTCCGTAAAATAAGCACACAGTGCCATCAAGTGTCTGAACAAGTTATTGCCGGCACTGAGTTGAGATACAAACAGTGGATGAACAAGACTCTGCGTTCTCGCCAGAGGCATAACTATCTACGAATGTTAAACAGGTTGGCTGATGGTTTTTCTTTACTTTGTGGTTAGGCTTTTGAGAGAGTGGCTGCATGCTGCTGTTGCTAGCTTTCAGGGGTTTGTCTTAGAAGTTTAAAGTCAACGGTGTTCATGTGTTCCTGTTAACCATTTCAGAGTTAAGTGTCAACCCAGATTTCTATTATGTAGTAGTATTGAAATAAGAAGAAAATCTCAAATTGGGGAATAATTTAATGGGTATTTTTAGCATTGCTAGGTTACTTCACTGTACATTAGAAGCTTCCAGATAAAAGTATTGTTTCAAAGTTAGATTGTATTTTTTGGTTGCTAGCGTTTCCTGTTTAGATGTATAAATGCCATTCAAGTTTTATCGGAATGCAATAGGTTAAACTGATTTCAAGACTACCTACTTTAGTTCTGCTACTTTTTGTCATTATACCTGGGACAACATTTTTATAGATAGAAGAGAGATTGTTTAGTATTCTGTTAATTTGGTTCCTATTCACAAGTGTTTTCCAGGGATTTATGAATCTACTTTAAAAACTGGGAAAACTGTAAATATTGTATTCTTGGCCAGGTTATGTTCCTAAAAAAATGTTAACCATATTATTTAAGAAACATAGCTTAAAGTGACAACTGATGATACATATTTGCAATTCAGTTGAATTCCAGTTTATTATCTGTGCAGTAATGGGTGCTGGTGAGGTTTCCTTTGGAATCTTAACTATATGTGTTTCTCTTTTTTTTTTCCTCTTTTTGAGGTTTCATAAGTTATAGTCTTAATTTATAGTTTTGATATTGGCTCTGCTCTTTGCTGAAGAACATTTCATAGTCTTCGCCCCACTATGCAATATCCAGCTATTTAGGGTGGATGCAGAAGTCTGAAGAATTTATATATTAATGGTTTCTATTTAATTTGGTTTTAGTTTGTTTATTTTCAAATATTTTTGCTTATTTCTAGCGTTAAATTTTTGTCTCCGGTGTTGCAGCTCATCTTAGTGTTGATTACTCTGGAACTAGTTAATGTTCATTTGGTTTGTAAGAAGAATCCTTTTGATTATCAGCAGTATCTAAAGTGAGTATGTAAGATTTATTTTATGAAAATAGGAAGCTGTACACATTCCTTTTTGATCTGTAATATAAGTCCTGTAGAGAAAAAAATTAAAAGGAACAGCATGACTTTTAGTAGATTGTCATCCTTCTTTCTATCATTATAGTCATCATTATATCTCAGACAATGTTCGCTCAAGAACTAAAATAACTTAGTGGAAAATATATGGTCCAGTTATTCACATTTTTAATTTTTATTACACTCTTCGTCACTATAGATAGAGAATGATCACACAGTCAAAAATATTAATACATAGAAGCTCTATTTAATATGTTGGTAATTTTAACTCCTTGTGTGTCAGTTAACAGTTGGTTGGATATCATAGGCATTGTGAAACATTTGACTTGAGAAAGGAAAGGAAGCCATTTGGGGAATATTCTGTCACGCATTTTATCACTGCATTCTTTCCATGGCAGCATTTAATTGCAGTTCTGAAAATCATCACTTCTTACTGTGAGAATGAGGGAGTGGTTCTCTTCCAGAAGTAGAAGAAACCTTAGTGTATTGACCATCCTGAGGGAGATTTGGAAATTTGGAGACATTAGCAGCTTTAAATCAGACACAGTTATTTTTCTTTATTTCTTTTTAAATCCTTAGTGAGTTTTTTCTTCTTTGGCTTTATTTCTTGCAGGTTTTTGAAGTCAGTCTTGCAGTATACTGAGAACTTGGTGACGTACACAAGCCCTGAGAAAAACAAGTGGGATGAAACCATGGAGCTTACAAACAAGGCTTTGATAAAAATAAGGAAAGTCAGTGACAGAAAGCTAATGTTAATGCAGCTAGCTACATAAATTTTAAGATTATTTAGACATTATTGTATCTTAAGAGTTCTGGAGTCCTCAAATTTTACAAATCTAATTCAAAGACAAACTTCATCAGTCATTGTCAAAATTTGGATGAAAAATTTAGTCTTTTTATTAGAAGGTGGCTGTTGAGACTGGAGTTGAATGGTCAAGTTTCTGAAAAATGGACTGTTTGCCAAATCCAGTGAAGAAGATTTACTGTGAGCTAAATCAGGATGATGCAAGTTCTACTTTAAGTATATTATGTGTTTTGTAGCTTGATTTTTTTGTTTGTTTGTTTGTTTTTGTTAGTTTTCTATTATACTGAAAATATCTAAGAAGATAGTGTGAATAAAAGCTCTGGAAAATTTTATATCCAAAAAGTAATTTTTTACTTTGAAATATACTGGAAATAATGTCAGACACTGATCAACAGGTTAAGAAATGATGAACATTTAGCATAAAGTAGTGCTCATTGGCAGCTGTGGTTGTTGTTACTAGTTCAAAACAGAGACAGATCTTGCACAGAGGTAGAGTTGATAACACAGTAACCAGTTGTTTATACACCAGGATTTAAAGGAGGCAGGGTGGAATAACTTTTGCACAATATGCGTTTCTTTTGTTTAATTTCATCTGCTCATTCCCAATACATATCTAGTTAGTTAGTTAGTTAATTTCATGCAGATTAAATATGAACATTCATATGCACACGCTCATAGATAGATATTTGTTATGGTTCAAAAAGTTATCCTCTTGTTGCACACAACATTCATTTGAATAATTTATTTTCTTCAAAATAAATTCTCCCCCTTTCTCATTGCCAAAGGGTAGAATTTCAAAGGGATGCGTCAGTTGAACAGATTCGCAGAAGACCACCAATCTCTATCCGTTTGCATTCTCCTATTGAGAGTAAAACCAGAGGGTAATGTCTGGAGAATGTTTGGCTCTACAAAGGGTTAGAGATTCAAGTTACATTTTAATAAGATTCTTTGCAATGTTTCTTGACTGGAAATCACAGTGACTAGTTCAGTTTATTTGGTGTGGGAGACGGATATAAACTAAGATCAAATTGCTTCTTTTATGCTACTCTTGCAATATATTGTGTGTGTTTGAAATCTAGCTATGTAATTTTCTAAAGGTTTTTTTTGTTCCTGTGGAACTAAATGATGTGAAGAAGTGTGAACTAGGTAAAAAGGATTAAAACTAGGAATAGAGAATAATGAATCAAATGCAGTGTATGAGCCACAATCTGAAATTCCAGCTTTTTTTAACACCTCAGTTAGCAAATCCTAATTATATTTTTGAAGGTTTATTTTGTGCCCATAGAGTTTGCTCAGACATGTTAATTTCTGCTAAGTGTAGCTTGGTAGTAACATTTAAGGTGACACTTGTTTTGATGGTGGTAAGTATTGCAGGGGGGTGGGTGATAAGTATTGTACGGCAAAAAATTTATTTAACTTTACATGTTTATTGTAGGAAAGAGATCAAGAAATTAAAACATGGAGTCATGGTTTAAAAGTACATAAACAGCTGACACGCTTTGTCCTTTTGAAAGTATGTTCTTGTACTGAAAAGCACCTTATAGACCACAGATGTATATTTTCAACAACATAAGTTCTCCTTTTGTTCCCATATTTAAACTTTACTAAAATGTTCTTTATGCTATTCTCTTTATAAGCTTTTACCTAAGATGGAGCACATCAGCAGCTTCTCCTTTACTAATTAGTGCCATAGATGTTATTTGCTGCATTAAGTCTGCAGTAAGAAACATGATGGACTTCTGGCAATTTTGTGAAAGATGCTTTTCCAGTTTGTTTTTCCTACCTCTGAAGCTCTCTGATGGGAACACTGCTACCATCTACCATTTAGACAAATCTGGAACAGACAATCAAATTTATTCTGACTTAAAGCTGTCATTTGCCAGTAAAGCTGCATGTGGGGCTTATGGTTTCTTCCTGCTGTTAAAAGACTTGCAGAATAGAGCTGCACAATAAGTGTATATTCAACAATGCACATTGAAGAACAAATGGCAAGAGACATGGTAAAGATCATGGGGTTTGTCCTTTATCAGTTACTTGAAATGACTTCTCCATTTCAGTTATTCATCTTTGCCATCTGTTTGGAGTCACTTTGAGTTTTAAGATGCTAGAAAGAATCTTGACTCTGAATACTCAGTATTCCCGAGAGCAAAAGAAGCTTGGCATAACCAAAGACATCCGGTGGGTACACGCATAAGTAATGCTGACAAAATGCATCACTTTAAATGCAAGTGTTCTGATTTTTGTTGTCCTAAAGGGAATTAATTCTGGAACTGAGCTGTCCAAAACTGCATAGTCATCCATTAGGCATTCAAGTAATTGTTCAGTCTTTTTAAAAAATTCTTCCATTCTTGAATTTTCAAATATCTACAATTGTACCAAAGAATGTTTTCTTGCAAGTGTGGTATTTCATCCAAGTATTACTTGCATGTGTTTTAATTGTTGGCCTTGCTCCCCGAGGCCTGCATTTTCCTGGAGCTAGTATCCACTCAATGAATCTGTACAGACATAGATGTGGGATCTGCAGCATCCTCTGAGGAAGGTCATTGAAATATTTTGGTTACCTGGATAATGCTGATGAGGGAGTGATGATTCTTCAGTCAGTTCTTCCGAGTTCAGTTAATCAATTTGAGTGTGTGTGTGTATTAATTAAAAATAGCTGAGAATTTGTTTCTAATACTTTCTGATCTTACAAGCTAACGTTAGGCATCCTAACTCAGAATTTATGACAGAAGTTTTGAAAACATGGAAGAAAATCAGGTATCCATCTTTTTGGCTAAGTCGTTGGAATTCCTTTGCATCTTCTTGAATATCCCATCTAAATGAGAAGAGGAGCATCTCTAATAATTTTAGCTTTTCAGTAGTGAGATGCAGTTCCTCTGCCTGCCTTGCACCTTGAGGGGAGTTTTCAGGTGAGAGATTGTATTAAACAATAAGAAATTGAATGCTCTTAATTCAAATTGGAATGGATATAGTTTTCAAGTAAGAGTAGAGAACCTTTGCTGCTTACATTAGAACTAGTGAAAATTAATGTTGTAGGAAGTCCTCTGAATCCATGGTCTCCATCACTATATGAATGTTTTTGTTCATACACATAAACATTTGAAGAAAAGCCGATCTCTGAAATAATTATGTTGTAGTTGTGTGAACGTTTGTGGGTTTTGGTATCTTGTAGGGTCTATCAAGATGAACTAGAAGTTTATTGAGGTGGGCATTACACAAACACAATGAAACCAATTATGGTAGGCATCTGTGTATGGAAACAAAGCTTGTCTGTTATTTTCTCTTTGTCATTCTCTAGTTAGTACTCTCCACAATGATAGAAGGGGTTAGAAACAGAACCATGTGTTCTTATATGAACATAACACAAGTGGCTAAAAATACTTAAAAGCTTTTTGAGGTTATCATTACTATTGCATTATACAAAAACATTTTACATGAAGAGGTAGAGCAACAAATTTGATTTACTTTATCTTTTAATACTTAATCTAGCTGTTTTCAAGCAGCCTGATAGTTACCGAAGTGAACACATGGTGGCAGTGTTTGGTAATTCAAAATAGCATTGCATCCTGACATTTACTTTCTTACCTCTTTTCTTAAAATGAGTATAAAGAAATCAAGTTTTCTTCTGATTTCATCAGCTTTGTTATATGTGTCTTTAATTGTGGATGTTGCTTCTGGTGAAACTTTTTTCCCTCCTCATTTGCTTCAGGTCACTTTTGGAGAAATTGAACACCTCTGAAAAAAATGTTTTGCAAACAGCATTTTATTAGAATCATATAATGCTTTGGGCTGCAAGGGACCTTTAGAGATCATCTAGCCCAACCCCCCTGCAGTGAGCAGGGACAGCTTTAACTAGATCAGGTTGCTCAGAGCACCATCCAACCTGGCCTTGAATGTTGCCAGGGATGGGGCCTCTACCACCTCTCTGGGCAACCTGTTCCAGTGCTTGACCACCCTCACTGTAAAAAATTTCTTCCTTATGTCTAGTCTAAATCTATTCTTCTTTAGTTTAAATCCATTATTCCTTGTCCTGTCACTACAGGCCTTGCTAAAAAGATTGTCCCCATCCTTCCTATAGGCCCCCTTTAAGTACGGAAAGGCCGCAATAAGGTCTCCCTGCAGCCTTCTCTTCTCCAGGCTGAACAACCCCAACTTTTTTATTATTAATTAGATAGAGGTTCATCACATTCACCACAATACTTGCTGAGGACTTTTCAGATTTTTCAGGAGTTCATCAACTCCTCAGGTAGTTTAAGAGAATGAGTTTTTTGAATTTAATAAATAGTTATTTTAATAAGTTATTGTTTATTGCAAAACGTAAGAAAGTATTGACATTCCTAAAAGAAAAAATTCCAGATTGTCCTTTGTTAATTGTTGTGATATCACGAAAAATCTTATCTCAAAAGCAAAATATATCTTTTGAACAAAAATAATAATTGTCAGGGAATGTGTTTATTGAGAAAATTGCTCTGAGGTCTCAGCCTTATTGTTGTGGCAATGATTTTTCAGTCTGTTAAAACTGAAATGTGCTATTCATATGCCAGCCTGTGAAGAAGATATAGTTGAGCATTGCTCTTTGGGTGGCCTTCAAAAACCTTGTCCACAGTAGCACTTTCAAACCATGCAGGGAGGTTGCAGTTAAAAAAGATTTTCATTCACATGAAGTAATTTTTGTATGCTGTGAAATCTTGTGTAGAAATGTTGGAACATCCCCAGAAGAGCTTGGTTTTGCCTTATACTACATTATTGCATCTGGTCCGTGTATGGTGTATCACCTTTTTTTTATAAATTGGTCTGCAGATGCGGAGCAGATTCGTGGCTGGCGTAAACTGTTCCTGTTCCATCTACTTCAGTGCAGATCCTTTACTCCACTAAGGATCTGCCCCATGCTGTTTGGGTTTGCCTTGAAGTGGATTGTGCTGCTTTTTCAGGCTTGCATATTTTCAGGGGATTGGAAGAAAGAGCTATGTATTTCAGATAAAATTGCTGTATAGCAAAGCCTAATTAATGTAGCGGCTTACTTCACAGGGTAGTGGGGTTCATGTGTGGGACTTC